ATCGTAATCTTCCATTTAGTCTATGTTAGCACCGCATGTTTAGCTCTAATCGATTCGGTAAGTCTCCATTGATGAGAACATTGGCCGAATTGATCGGATTGATTAAAAGAGATTGTAAGAACTTACATCGAGTGGTAGTTTCAGCTCGACAATTCGTTTCCAGCGCCGATGGTTCAATTCCCTGAGCTGTTCGAGCGATGGTCGATCGTAGTTACGAGCAAATAGGGGGTCCTTTCTGAACGCTTCGTAGATTTGATCCTTAAATTAAATTGTATAGCAATTTCATCCAATTCAATCTGGAAGTTGTCCTCATACCTTGATTTTCACATTATCCTCACCTTCCACTACATCTCTCAGCTCTTGAGAGTTGATTGTAGCCTTTTTACGATATTCATCCAATGGTGAGGTCATCGATCTCTATTTCCTGTGAATACTTTGCATCAGCTTATTGGAAATTTTCAAAATGTGGGAGGATCCCAAATGATCGTGGTGTATGAGCGACTGTACGGGTTAGCAATTTTTGTGTAGAGGTGTTTCCCTTAGGTACCCATCTAACTACATAACACCTGTTCCCGCTTCCCGGTAGAAGAATAGAAAGGAAAAGTAGCAAAAAGGGCTGTGCTTTCAGCAATAGGAAGTAAAGAAAGTAAAGGTCTTGAAAATAGTGATTAACTAGTCTTTATCTGCGATCCCATTAGATAGCTGGTAATATTCTTGGTCCGCCACTCAATAACTTCGATGTAAGGTCAAGGATTCGCTTCCCGTTTCCTCGTAGGACAACACTTGAGAAGCAAGAGGGTTATGGCCCATAAAAATTCAGGCAAAACTCTAATGAAAATCACCAATTGATACTGTGGTGGAGAAACACGATGCTATGACCTATCGGGATTATGAATTGAGGAAAGATCGAGAAATCCGAGGATGAGAAGTTCAAAAAACTCTTCAAAAAACCTTTCATTGACACTTGTAGAGGGTGAATATTTTTGAAAAGTCAAAAAATGAACTTCTATAGTTCAACACAAGCTCCAGGCCTTTAACCTTCTCCTACGTAAGCTTGTATGAGAGTAATGAATCAGATACCATGCCAAGTTTAAAACCCTCATCATCAAAGGCAGAGCAGGTACCGAAGTACACTTGCGTGGTGTTTGTTAAAAATACTTGTTTGTCGAACCACAAAAAAACGATATTCCACATCAACACAGGCGAACCATGTGCCTCATGGTTTGTTCAGATTGTTGCAGGGAACCGTCTAAGAGGAAAAAACGGTAGAAAAAAAACAGCAGAACCAAAAAGGGGCAGGAGACACTCAGTTGCTTGAGTAGCCTATTAGGATTATAGGGAACCAAATTTCGACGGGAAACGGAAGGATAACCGAGATTTCCTACAAAACCGGAGAACATACTACCAAAATTCCTAGAAGTTTCTCTTAAACATCACAATTAGGACAAATTAAAACCCATTCACCAAATGATTTTTTTAGATAGGTACATTGAATGAGACACCTTATAAAGGCAATAGTAAATTATGGTAAAGTAAGATAAGCCAAAAGAAGAAAGTTAGCATAAAACACAGCACGTGATCATAGTAGTGTTGATTGGAATCAA